TAATTTGGCATATTAAATGCATTCCTTCTGTGACATAGCGGCAGATGAAAGAGTAGCATAACATACTTTACCTGCTAATTACACAGAATCACAGGCTGGTTGAGATTGGAAGGGACCCCTAGAGATCATCTAGTCCAAACTTCCTGCTCAAGGAGGGACACCCAGGGCACGGGGCACAGGGCGGCATCCAGACAGGTTTGGGAGATCTCCAGAGAAGGAGACTCCACAACCTCCCTTGGCAGCCTGTTCCAGGGCTCTGGCACCCCCACAGTCATGAAGTTCTTCCTCACACGGAGATGTGGAGATGATTTCTGGCATAACTTCGTAGGGCAGAATTTCTTTTTTTTTTTTTTTTTTCTTCACAGATACATACTTTCATGGGTTGACTCATTTGGGTCCTCAACAAAACATAAACTCCTCTGTAGTCTAAGCTCAGCATTAATTTGAATCTTTGATAATATAAATCAATGGTCCAAATTCTTAAAAAGAAAACATTTTCATGTTCTTTTTATAAAAACTAGTTCATTTTCATCAGGGAGATTTTCTATGATGTCCTGCTTTTTTATAGTTATTGAAGAAGGATTGCTTAATTTAGCATTTGGTGCTATTCAAACAATAAATCATATAAAATTAGATTGTTTCATTCATTTCTGCTAACTCTGTGATTTCAAAAACAAATAGACATATGTATTGATAATAGTGATTATTTACAAAAGATCTCACTAACCTATAAAGCCAACACCTGCAACATCAGTCCTAATTATATGAAAAGCTTCACAAACCAGACTGTCTGTTGTAGTTACCTRGATGTATTTAATTTCACAATGCTAAAATGGATGTATAAACATGACCCAGTGAAGAGACTTAGCCTAGGTATCTCCTTGTCCATCTGAACTTCATTTTGTGTGCCCCCAGGCCATTATGAAAGCTTTTTTTTCTCAATTTTTTTTTGCTGGAACATTTGGGAGGAAGGGGATATTGGATAATATTTCTTTGATTCTGGATTAGCATGTATGTTATAAATGACATTTGGAACTTGTCCATTTTAAGAAATGTGCCTTGTTTCAATCAGTTCAATCAGTTCTGCTGAATGCTTTTCTAAATTTTATGATATTTTAGACCAGAGAGGTCACACATTTGATTCTGACATTGGTTTCAGATTGTTCTAACTCTGCACAGTGCCAARGACAACAGGACCGGGTATCTGTGGGACTACCACTTAAATGTTATGCTGTTACAAACACTATTATCGGTTACAGCTCTTTTCCTAGCCTATGTCATAGAAAAGGATCCTGGAAATCATATTTAAATGAAATATGTATGAAAATGTGTAAACACAGACATAAGGAACTTAAAGGCCCTGAATTGGACTACTTGGTAAACCMCTGTTCCAGCAGAACAGTAGCATCAGCACATCCATGAAGGGGAGGAACTGGCCAGAGGGAAGCAAGCCACAGAACAGGCATCTGTACAGCAGATCAATTTTGAGTTGAGGCAAGCATTTCACAAGCATGGCAGGTGACGTTGCCAGATCTGATCGATTGAGAGCTGTTTTCTGTATGTGCAAGCATATGAACTGCAGGAAGGGAACTGAAGATGACTCAAAATTGCAAGTCTGTGTCCTCAACGAGGGGATCAAAACAGAGCTCAGGCAGATTSCAAGGATAAAAAAGAAACAGATGGAAGAGCAAGATTATGGGCTCAAAACACAAGATACAGAGGGGAGCATCAAGCGGAGAACTCTGTGTGTACAGCTTCCCAAAGGGAGTGAGAAAGCCTCTGAACTTTGCTGAAAATGTTTTTTTTTTTCAGGATGCAGAGAACAACTGAAGTTATTTTGGACACTGACAACCTCACTGATGCCTGTAAGCAACTGCAACACGTTTATAACGTAATAAGGACCTTTATGGTGCTTTATGAAGGGTAAAAATGGTGCTTTATGAAAGGGTAAATCACACAGAAGTGAGACATATGCTTAAGTTTGGACTGTTCATGAACAAAAGTGGTACAGTATGCTGAACCTGTATATTGTTTACAAAACGTTGCAGATGGCTTTTAGAGTTACTAACAGGTTATTAAAAGCCTCCTCAGGTGAAATGCAGGTGTGAATGAAAGAAGGTATTTATTTCCTTGCCTCATTAAGAAGCTTTAAAACACAAATCTAAACACAATCCTGACTTCAGGGCACCTCATACATCTCACTAGTGAAACTCATCTTCACCACAAGTGCTTTTGAGTGTAAAGGGAAAGAATTTGAATGTACAAGGAACCAGAGGTCTACCTTGCAGTTCGGATTTATGCTTTTAAAGGCTAAGGCCCAAAGTTTTCCTGACCGCTGTTACAGAAACTATTTATGAAGTTATGGTGAAAAGCACTGCAGAACTGGCTATTAAAGAAAACTTTCGAGTCAGCTTTTGCATATGAAACAGTGACCTCCAGTGGCTAGTTCAGTTAACTCTAATGATTTGATATACAGGAAAACAGATAAATTTGCATTTTGTTGAAAATTAGTAAAAATAAAAGGTCATGTTTCATATTTAATATATTAATATATTTAATATATTTAAATAGRCAAATATACACAATAAACAAATTTTCTAAACAGAAACATACTTYGGTAAAAATAATATTCTCATTTAGAGTGGAAAATTACCTTTTGTCTCTACATATTAAAAAAGCATATAATTAAATTATGTAAACATGTTTAGATATGTTTAAAGAAATAACACATTCTCTACTTTAGGGCTGTAGTTCTTATCTATACTAATTACACTAAAACTCATCACTCCTCCTTTTCCTGACATCTCAGTTTCATATTAAAAACACCGGAAAATTCCGGATTTCATCTGATGATTCTCCAAACACACAAAAGCATATAGAGCCCTCCTCAATGTAGGATTTATAGCCACAGTAAATTAGATATAAGGCAAATTTTCAAGAGACAGATCCCTTGTTTTAAGACCCAGTTAGAGAAAAAAAAAAGGCAAAAACTGTCTTTCACAGTTAATTACTTAGCACACACATAAGAATGTAGAAGACCTCAATTTAATATCTTTCTGTGACTTTGGTAGATARGTGAACATCCTCACCTAACCAGAAAAACCCATTGTTTACTAAGCTAACAAATACTCATGAGGAATTAAAAAGATTCAAATTTCCTTATTGAATCTGTTCCATTTTGTCTCAAATAATGAAATGCACTGCATCAAAATAAGGGGAAAAAGACAATCCAACCTAATGATATGCTGTTATAGTGTACGTGGAAGAAGAGAGAATCTCCTGCATTCCAGTCCGATGTTCTCCGTAGGGAATGATGCCAATTTCAAATGCCAGCTAAATTTTGCCAGTCTGTCTTTTTACATGAGGACTTTCRCCCAACAGAGCTACCTACTGTTAGAGCTAAGCTGCTAGGTTAATATTGCTTTTTCTCTTTTAATGTTTTTCCATACTGGATGACAAAACATGGTGTGGAAAGGAAGGCTGTTAGGCAAGGTAGAAGATTGAGTCATTGCCCTGCAGGATACTCAGAAGCAGAAGCAAATCACCTCTGTCTAGCCTTATTTACCAAAGGATCTAATTCAGCGGCTAACAGGTTTTTTTTTTTCCTTTTTGTATATTTACTCCAAACTGAAAGAATAATTTGGCTTTTGCACAAGCAACCAAAATTCACATCTCCCAGTTTTAGAATATTGGATAAAGGTATTCTATAGGGCTTAAACATTTGGCTTTCATTTACTTATACAWATAAAACTCTAAGTAGACAGAACAATCTCTAAATTCATGATGCAATTATTTTGATTTGTCAGCAACCAAGCTCTTTCATTGTATTATTGTAGTATCACTTCATAAATCCAGTCACATAACAAGCAAAAAACACACTTTACTCAATTTCAAAGGTTTCTTTTATAGCTAAAGAAAATCATGTCAATTATTTTGTAATCTTTTAACTCCTGAACAGAGTCATTTCCTAAGCAAGTTTAGCTAGAGGACAAAGCATCAACTGAGATATATGTTTAAGTCTCTCCAAATGTAGAAAAAGGTTTCTTTTTTTTCTGACAGTCATAAATATGAAAACATTTTTTTGCTTGTGATGAGTAAATCTATGTTTTAAACTATCTAAACTATCTAAATAGTTATATAAATGGTCTATAACTATTTAAATAGTTAGATAGCATAAATTGTTAAAGTAGTCATGAAAGGCTAAAAATGCTTAAAATTTTGAAGCGTGCAATTTGAGATGCTCCTCATTCATATATATATATGTATTTATATATATGTATTGATATTGGGCGCTGTCTATACTTTCACTCATCAATGCTTTTAGGAAATAAACCAAGCCCCACTGCCACATTTATTCTTTCTAAGCTAAGTAATATCCATCTGCTAGCTACCACATTAATGGCATCCAAAATTATCAGATCCTATGCAGGTAAAACGAGTCATTCCTACTTCATTATTAAAAATAAATAAATAAAATTCCTGACTCTCAAGCATGAGGGCTCACTTTTTTTGTAGCAACTGTGGGGTATTAAAGCCTATATTAAAATACCAAAATCGACCTGTTAATGCAACGCAAAAAAAMCCCACTTCCTGAAAAGTCAATTACGCTAAGAGGAAGATGGAAGTGAACTGAGGCAGGCACAATATTTTTTTATTATTTGATTTGGGATCCTCAAAGATGTGGGGACTTGTTTCCGCTAATAAATCTAGAACCAAGCAAGAGTAACACATCTGGGCAATACATGAAGACACTTCTGTTATCTTGCCTATCTTAGCACAATCAGAATTGTCCTATCTCTTCAGTTTCACATACAGAGAAGGAACTTTCATTTTTCCAACCTCACACACAAGGAAGTGTCTTCCAAAGTGGAGGAGTTATATAGCAGATTTTTTTGATGGTGAGACATTTGCTTGTTAGTGAACATGCTGCTCTAAACTTATTTACTGTGAATCAAATTCATACATGTGATGTGCAACGAAGCTGAAGGCTCTTCTTAGCAGGTCATGTCTCAGTACTAGGCAAGGATTGCAACTTAAAATATGTGTAATATTAAAATTATTACCCATCAGTATTTTTCTGCTCACTACCTGGTATAGTTTTATTCATGACCTTTATCTTGTGCACTGTTTGGAGAACATTTGTGGGGTCACGCTCAGGTCCTCMTAAGAAAAACTCTAGACCAGAAACACTGATCTAAATTCTGAATACAATTGTACAGGTTATTTTGGATCCATTTGGCTAAATTCTAATTTTTTTCACTGTCCTCCAAAGCAGTGGCTTTCAGACACACAGTATGCACCAAACTACTGCAGATATTTTCAATGAGAAGTGACACTAGACACTATGAAAAATGGCAGTAGCAGTTTTAACAGAATGGAGTATTACTGGACAGTGTCCTAGCCTGTATATATTTATTTACATACTAATATATAAGTAGCCAATACAAGCCTGATAGAGAAATGAAAAATGAAAACTGTGTTGAGTGAAGGAGTCTCATTACTCAYGGGAAAGGTAAGGAAATGGATCCTGGACAAACAAGTAATTTTTATGATAGAAAAGCAACTAGAAATATTACCTCCAAGCCAAAATGTATTCAAGACATAATGGCTAATTTTATTTATAAAATGATTCTGTACTAGAATTGTTCACCGCCTCACAAAACATACATGAAATATGGAACCTGATCTACAAAGTGCCACGTTTCGTAGAAGCACAGATTCTTGAGGTGTTCTAAATATTAGCCCTCATGTAGTAGAATCCACRACATAGCTTCAATTGGCATAAGCAGAAGCCTGGATACTTAATAAATACATATTGAACACAGCTAAAAAATACATAGGTAGATGAAAATTGACTGGAAACTTGTACCTTTATCAGTGCTMATCATGTTGGTCATGGTAAAAATAGCTTACACTACAAGACAGAAAACAATGTTCGTACCATCATCTCTTTATTTCATGGCAAAGTTCCAGATGTAGTGGGAGCACCTGCTTTCACCTCACTGTCCATTGCCAAAAGGTGCCAAAAGGCCTCTTAATATGAGGCACAAAAAGCATTGTTGTTCTTATACAAACATACAAGAAGGACTGGCTGAAACAGTAAATGAAACAGTATTATCACAAGATAATTAAAAATAATAAAAAATATCAACACTTTCACTTCTTCTTCTTCTCTTTCTCTGCTTTAATTCTCTGCTGTAGTGTCTTCAGTTCGGTCATTACATTCAAAGTTTTGTAAATCCAGGTGATCTGAAAAGTATGAGTATTATTATATTCAACTCATTTTTAATRTGTATACAAACTTACATGTATATCAATTTTATGAAGGAAGCATCTATTTAAAAAAAACACATACCACAATTATCATAGTATTCACCAGGAGTGGYGCTGAAAAGACCAGTGAAATAAACATTCCTCTTGAATCAAAGTATTGATGTTTAGAAAATAACCTGAAAGAAAACAAACAACAAAGTTCATGTCCTCTTTGCTTTAAGTTACTACTCTGATTCTCTCTTAGTAGTTAGCTTACAACATGCAAAAGGTTTTTTTTTCCTTTTGATTTTAAGGCAATATGTTAATGGTTAGAAAAATTACTGTTTTCTATAATCTAAGTTTTAACTATATTGCATTGTATGGTTTTGTCCAAAAGGGTTTTATCAATCAGTGTAACAGATCCTGCACCTTCACATTCTGTTGACTAGGCATAAGTGACTCTCTCACAATTAATGTCTCTCATGGGGATGATATGATGAAAAAAATTAAATCACATTTAAACGTGAGACTGAAACACTTACCTCCAATTCATAGCTGCTAATTCATTTATATATTCAGCACAGTACACTAAACACACTGWACAACAAAAGAAAAACATTATTAGATTCAACACTTCTTTAAAAATAAACAGCAAGTTATCAGCTCTAAGATGCAGATGTACTCTACATTAAAATTCCATGATCCTCAGAAGACTGTTACATATTTAATATTTAACTCCATAAAATCAGCTCTGAATGTTTGAAGTGTCCCATACACATGCTAAGAAATATTAAGTGACCAGAAAACATACCTACAATATTACAGACATAAAATCTTGCTTATCTCAGCTTAGAGGAGTACAGTACAACTACAAATACATATATATATATATAAATCAGTATTTTTCCAACAATATTACTGATGATTGCTTCTAAGATAAATCTGTAAAATAAATCCATGTCAATAGCACCAAGTACCCTTCAGACACTGAAAATCTAAAGCAAACTGAGCCAACCTGTCACTGCACCCTGAAATTCTGCACGCCTAATGTTAAAATTAMAAAAGAAACACATGACTTTTTAAAAGGAATGGGCAAACACTTCCACTGGCAGGGTAAGAACCAGGATCCTTCTCCCTCCCTTAGCATTCATAGTGGGGATGGGTTTAGTTGGACTTTATCTTGAAGGTCTTTTCCAACCATAATTATTCTACGATTCCATGATTTATCCCWCCAGGAGAGGTGTTAGCAGGGTGATAAGCCAGTTCCAGGAACAAACCCGGCCCAGAACTGCCCATATTTCCCCAGGGGCTGCAGCAGAACAAGGCAGAGAGCAACTGCCCACTTGCTTCTTCCTTGAAGCTGTGGCACACAGCTAACCTGGAAATAACCCTGGAAATATCCCAGGAAACATCACAAAGCCTCCCCAAGGCCAAAATTACAAGTCTGTACTTCATATATGCTTGGAAATAGTCGTCGCCAGGGCGGCAGGTGCCCAACGGGCACACGGGGAATGGAGGGAAGGAGGGAGGGATGGATGGAGGCAGGGAAGGAGGGAGGGATGGATGGAGGCAGGGAAGGAGGGAGGNAGGGAAGGAGGGAGGGATGGATGGAGGCAGGGAAGGAGGGAGGGATGGATGGAGGCAGGGAAGGAGGGAGGCGCGGGCGCCGCTCACCCATGCACAGGAAGAGCCCGATCTGCAGGCGGTAGCGCTGCGCGGAGGCGCAGGTCAGCACCAAGCAGAGGACGTGGAAAACGGCCAGCGCCACCAGCCACGGCTCGGACCAGTCCGTCGTCTGGGGACGCAAACGGGAGAGGCGGGCGCCATCAGCGAGGGTTGCGACGGGCAGCGAGCGCCTTCCCCCCGCGCGCCGCGGTCGCAGCAGGGGAGGCGGATTTGCCCGGCTGCCCCGCCACCCACACGGGTCCTCCCGTCCCGTCCCGTCCCGTCCCATCCCGCGAGCCGTTCCTCACCGCCAGCACCGCGCGCAGCCCCCGCGGCGCCTCCATGGCGGCGGCCGCCACCCCGCCCTCCCCGCCGCCCAAGCCTCGCGAGATGGCGCCCAACGGCCGCCGCGGCCGCCCCTGGTCCGTGCGGCGGGCGGAGCCGCTCGCGGTCCCGCTGTGCGGGAGCCGGGAGCCGGGAGCAGCCGCGGCGGCCTCGGCGCCGCTCGAACCGTCCCCCTGCGGCGATCCCTCCGTGGTAGCTCTGTCCTGTCAGAAAAACAGMAGAAACTCCCGAAACTCCCGTTAGGTTTTTAGCAGTTAATCAAGAAGACTGTGAACAAAGTGCCCCCGCTTATTTATTTATTTATGGTAGTAGTTTGTACTACTAGTAGTAGTTTTGGTAGTAGTTTGTTTTGGTTTGTTTTGTAGTGTCAGGCTGTGCCCTAGACTTTTTTTTTTTTTTTTTTTTTTT